ATTGCCAATGTTGTTCTACCTTTAGCTGCCAAATCTAATGCCTTTTGAACAACCTTCTCTGATTCTGAATCAAGTACTGATATTGCTTCATCAAGTAGTAAAATTTTGGGATTACGAATCAAAGCTCTTGCTATAGCAATTCTTTGTTTCTGTCCATCAGATAATTGTGTTCCTTTACCACCTACATAAGTGTTATAACCATCTGGTAAATCTTTAATAAAATCATGTATGTTTGCTTCCTTACATACTCTTTCAACATCATCCTGTGTTGGTGTTTGCCCTTCTTTGGCACCAAATATCACATTATCTTTGATTGTCATATTGTAAAGTGATGGTTCTTGTGAAACAAGAGCTATGTTTGATCTTAGATCATTAATATTCATTTTGGAAGCATCAATCCCATCAACTTCAACTCTACCAATTGTTGTTTTATAAAATCTCTCAATCAATCCAATTGTTGTTGACTTACCACATCCAGAAGGTCCAACTAATGCAGCAAACTGTCCAGGTTTGATCTCAAGTGTCAACCCTTTTAATACCGGGACATGTGGTCTTGTTGGATACTGGAAATGTACATCAATAAATTTGATATGTCCATTAATATTCTCAACTCTTTCACCATTGTTTTCTACATTTGGTTTATTTTCCAATAATGCAATTATGGATGCAGCTGCTGATTTTGCTTTTACAATATCTGGTGCAAGTGCAAATACACGTGCAGCTGACAGTGATCCATAAATAATGGCCATGAAAATTGTAAAAAAATTTTGTAAATCATATTCACCAGTCTTAAACAATAAACTTCCATACCAAAATGCCAATCCATTAATAAAGATCAATATACATTGTGAAAATGCAAATGCAATTGATGCATAAAAAGAATTATATGTTCCTTGTTTCATTGGTTCATCCAACAAATTATGATAAATATTCCACAAGTCATCTTCACATGTAAGAGCTGCAACAGTTCTCATGTTGGCTGTACCTTCACATGCAATTTGAGCAGAATGTTCATATGTTTTTTTGGTTTTTTCTTTGAATCTATCCAACATTTTTATACGTATTAAACTAGATGCTATCAACAAAGGTATTGTTGCCATACAAACTAAAGCAAATTTCCATCCCATCACTAATCCAATTATCAAACCACCTATTATAGTTGTGAAAACTTGTAAAATTCTTCCAATTGTCACACCAGCCAATCCATTCACATGTGTTGCATCCAGTGATAATGAACTTGTCAATACACCAACTGTATGATCCTTCTCATCAAAAAATGATATGTCTTGATGTAATATTGCTGCAAATGACTGTGACCGTATGCGTTGAATAAGGTTTTCACCAGAAAGTCCAAATAATATCCCTTGTATAAAATTAGCCAACATCATTGCAACAGCAATAACCACTATTTAATGTAATTAATATCAGAAAAGCAATAATAATATAGTAAATATTTGTAAATTAATAACATCTAAAAAATTTTATGATATTGTAAAATAGAAAGGAAAGAAAGTACATACAAAACATAAGTGACCAGAATCCAGCCTCTTGAGTTAATTGATCACCAGTTGTAGAAAATGCTTGTATGATGTTTGCAAATATTATGGAAAACACAGGATAAATAGAACCAGCCAGAACAGCACCAAATAATCCAAGAACTATTAATGGGAGTTCTGGCTGATTTATAGTGACCACTTTCCTTACAAGTTCAAATATTTTATAATTGCTATTTTTCTTGATACCAGATTCAATATCAGCCAACTTTTTAGATATTATTGCTGATGATGCTGACTTATTTGTAATCATTTGACTTATTTGAATATCTTCATCATTAGGAAATTTTTCCTCTTGTTTTTTGGTTGGAATTGATAATGATGATGATGATGACTCTTCAGTTTTACTTGTTATATGTTGGGCTTTAACCAATCTAAAATAGTAACCTTCTTTTGCCATAAGTTCATTATGATTACCAGATTCAACAATAATACCTTTATTCATCACAATAATTTTTGTTGCATTTTTGATTGTTGGCAAATGATGGGAAATGATTATAGTTGTACGATTTTGTGAAGCTTTATCAAGAGCATCTTGTACAATTCCCTCACTGTTGGTATCAAGAGCACTTGTAGCCTCATCAAGTAATAAAATTGTTGGATTTTTAACAATAGCACGAGCAATTGCTATACATTGTTTTTGACCACCAGATAATAAGAATCCATTTTCACCAACCATTGTGTCATATTTATTTGGTAAATTCATAATGAAATCATGTGCATTTGCCATTTTACATGCAGTTTCAATCATTTCATGTTTTTTTTCATCATTAAGCTGCTCATGCTCTGAACCAATCAAACCATGAGAAATGTTTTCAGCAATTGTTGTATTGAAAAGTACAGGTTCTTGATCCACCCAACTCATTTGTCTACGTAGCCATTTCAAATTAAATGATTTTATGTCATGGCCATCAATTGTAATACTTCCCATAACAGGATCATAGAACCTGAGAACAAGTGATAAAATTGTGCTTTTTCCTGATCCAGATAAACCAACCAAAGCCATAGTAGAACCAGCTGGAATATTCAATGAAACATTATCTAAAGTTTGAACATCAGGCCTTGTAGGATAAACAAAAGAGACATTTTTAAGTTCTATGTGACCTTGAACACCATCTACAAGTTGTTCACCTTCCTCAGATGAAGAATCAATTACTGGAACCCGGTTAATTGTTTCAAAAATTTTTGAACTTGCACCAATTGCAAAACTGAAAGCTTGAATCTCAGGAGCAAGATTTCCAAGAGAGAAAGCACCAAACATCACAGCATAAAATACATTTACAACATCACCAGAAGTCAATTCACCAGATGAAATCAAAGTTGATCCAAACCAAAAAGCCAAGGCATATGTTGCATAAATAAAAAGATAGATGACACCAAGTGAAGTACTATAGACCATAGTTTTTTTCGCATCTTGAACTTTAGCTTTTTCTAAATGTGCATCATATAATTTAGAAAGTTTTTTCTGGTTTCCAAATGCCACAGCAGTTCTTATTGTTGCAATAACTTCTTCAGCTATTGTGCTAGCCAATGAATAAAAATACAAAGCTTTCCTAATGTATGCTGAAGTAAGTTTATTCATGATTCCACTTGTTATTGCAATCAATGGTATTACACAACAAATCACAAGTGTCATTTTCCAATTTTTTACAAAAGCTATAATAAATCCAGTAATGAATGCACAAAAATACTAAAAAATAAAGAAAGTGTTGATAGACAATAAAATTTATATCAAGATTGATATAAAAAGAATGAAATAAAACTATTTAAATTAATTTGGTAATTACTTGAACAGCCACGACAACTTTTTCACTAATACCATCTTGGATCAAATGAGTATCAGAAGTGATACGAGTTGTTACTTCACCAGCACCAAGTTTATCGAAATAAGCAATATTTTGACGAAGTAACGCACGAAGATAAGCTTCACGAATTTTTCGTGTAATTCTAAATGATTTTTTTAGAATATAATTAATAGTAAATTAAAATTAATAGATTAATACCAATATAGAAAATGCGCAGTTAAGTCGTTAATTGTATAATTATTCACCTTCCACCAGTATAAACCCAACATGTCATACAAATATAAGCGGCAACAAAAATAGCAATGCCAAGGTACACAAAGGATAATGTGTTATTATTAACTGCTTTTTGAAAGTCTTCGCCACTAATTCGGCCTGCTTGAAAATCCGTGAAAGAATTAATCATTTGTCCAAATATGATGGTCATCGATGGCTAATTAATTCAATTAGTTTTAGAAATATATATATTGCATGATATATTATGTAAAATATTTTTTTAAAAAATTGCAAATATTTACCGCAGCAGCACCAGTAATAGCAGAAAATATTAAACCGAAAATCATTATACACCAATCTTTTCTACTGGCAAAAGAATATAATTTCCAATAAGATGGTTTATGTTCGTCGATATTAACTTGAGACTTTAAAGCATTTTCAGCTTCTGAATTCAGTAATCTATTGTCATTATTATTATCATTATTATTGTTATCATTATTATTGTTATCATTATTATTATCATCGATTTTTAATGTAACTGATTGTGTGTTAGACATTCTTGTATATTATAAGAAATCGATTTTTTAAATTAGAAATTCTTATTTTTATTTTTTTTACAAGAATATGTATCTCAAATTCAAAGGACAATTTATTTCCTTTTTTAACGACCGAAAGTTTTTGGAGTTTATATATAAAATTAGTATGAGCTATATTATATCACCGAAATTTGGTCATAATTTTTATGATCATAGTAATAGTAGTAATACAACAATAAAATAATTGCTTGGCATTCTTTTTTTGTTGGGGAAATCCAGATCGTGCTCATTTTAAATTAAAGAAATTATAAAGAAGATCAATTGAAAATGACAAATTTTGTTCATTTGTTTGACTTGAAATAGAATAGCCTCGGATCATTGAGAAATCTGCGAAAGAATCTGCGAAGTTTCGAGCCAAAGTTTTGAGATAATTTTATTTACAAGCTATTATTTTCAAGGTATATTGATATTTAGGATTCTGCCTCTTGCTACCCTACTTTCGTAAATAAATATTACTCATAACTTTCACCACTCTAATATTATCAATATTGAAATGTCGAGGATTTTAATCGATTCACAGATCAACTTAAATTTAGGCAGCAAATAAATTATTCTAATAAAATAATGTGACATTATTTTTTTTCGTGATTTTAGAAATCATTTACGTAAATAAACAAGTTTGATTAATATTAATATTAATATTGATTGATTGATGCGAAAATCATTTGTAATGATTTTCTTATTATGATGATAATAAATAATATTGTCGTCATAAATTTTTTTTTTTTTTGACCAAAAACTATGAATGTTTATTTAACTCTAGAGAATTAATTAATGATAATCATAGTAATAAATTCAAATCAAACCTTTTTCTCTCTCACAAATATTAAATTATGGAATTTCTTGCTTCTGCCCCACCACCAATTATAAAACCTAATATTTATAACGTGGATCCAAAAAATGCGACTTTAGTTCCTTTAAACATTGCAATTAGAATATTTGTAAAACGTTTAGAAACCAAGTTACTTGAATTTATCAATAACAATAAAAACAATCATAATGACAATGACAATGATGAACCCGGGGTTTTTTTATCCAAATTTATCACTACTATTAATAAAGCCAAATCCGTATGTGATCAATACGATTATATAATTAGCCTTAATAAGAAAAATGTTCATAAAGCTGATCTATTAACTCATTGGATTATGGTGATAAAAGATGAATGGGGGAATTTTGATTTGAAGAAAATCATAAATCGTGAATGGAAGACTGGTGACGTTCCTAAAGTCCTGCTGCAACGTAATTTTAGAATAAAGAAAAAACAAAATTCATGGAAAATTCAAGCTTCATTGCTCGAAAAAAATAAAAAACCAAAGGTTGATAAGGACAAAATATTTAAACAAGAAGAAAAGGAAATAGAAAATATTAATGACAACGTAAAACAAATAAATCTGGAAGATATAACTATCAAGGAAGTTGAAAACAAAAAGATAAAGAGCATTTCATGGGCTGATGAAGTTAACGAAGAATTTGGAGAAGTTTCATCAATTACAAGAAATAATAATGAGGATGATGTCAATGATGATTATATGAATAATAATGTAACTGAAAATGAAACAACTCCAATAAAAAATCATTTAACACAAATCGAAGAAATTGAACCATACAACTCTGCAAATGTAATAGTAACGATTAATGATTCGCAAATCGAGTGCGATTCAGTTTCTTCATCCAACAACACTGAATCTACAAATTTAGGCGAAGAAGGAGGTGGGGAAGTGGCAGATCAGAGTGAACTAGAAGATGGAGATGGAGGAAACGAAAAGATAGAAAGAGAAAGACAAGTAGAAGAAGAAGGTGCAGGTATAGGAGTGGGGAGAGAATTAGTATTGACTAATAATAATAATAATAATCTACCTAAAGAAGAATTCGCTGATTTCAGCATCACAAGGAATGTGAATGATGAGGTTCTTGGCTTTAATCACAATGATAATTATCCTGAAAAATTGGCTATTGATGGCATTGAAATTATTAATCCTAATGATCCAACAACTCGCGCTATCAACAATAATGATACTAGGCCAAATAATACTATAAATCACACGTTTCAATGGAACTGTGATTATGGAAATGATGTTTCTATTACAGGAACTTTTGGTCCCAGATACAAAAACTGGCAACTCATTCCAATGAAAAGAAATCAACTTGGAGTTTATGAAGTTTCAATTGATCTTGAAATAGGAAGAAAGTACTTCTATAAATATATTGTTGATAACCAATGGAAATTGGATCCTGAAGTTCCAACCGACTTTGATGAATTAGGAAACGAAAATAATACGATTGTTTTATCAACTAATGATAATAACAATAACAATAATAACGATAATAATGATATTATTTCTTACCCTTATTCCCTAATTGGAGAAGAAGGATTGATAGTTTCTGCAAATGACGTCGTTTACAATGATGATATTCGTCAATCGAGTAATTTGCAATCGCACGCAGCTTTAATTTATAAAGAACTTCAAGGTGAATTAGAAACACGTCAATTAATATACGAGATTGATTCCAAACTTCATATTTCCGAAGCACCAAAAGGAAAAGATAAAAAACGCGGTCAAAAATTAAAAGCTTACAAGCAACAATTGGTAATTAAATCGTTTTTTTTTGTGGGCAAGAGATGTATTATTATATTACTAACTTTATAATAATGCTAACTATGTTTGTTTGTGTATTATATATAATGCATGCATACATATAGCTTAATCATTCAATAAGATTACAAGATGGCGAAAAACGAATTATTTTACATAAATTTGAAAAAATATTAGATGGTTGGAAAATTGTTGTTGATAGTCTCTAATATGTATTATTGTTATTATTATGGGAAATTTGTTTAGATTATTGCTTACACACAAATAAAGTAACATTAATATTGCTTATATTTTGAAAATCTTTCAGTAAAATCATATTATGACGAACTTTCCAGTTCATTTTTATTATCTTCTTCGGATTACATAAATATCTAATAATATTTTATGATAATTTATCTGATTTAATTAATTAATTATTAAAAAAAAAAATAATGAATGTTATAATAATGATATCAAATAATTATTAATTTATTTTTTTGGACTGTCTGATGTTTTGAAACAATTACCACGTCGCTTTATAATTTTTGTTTGCCAACATGAAAATTTTTAGCATTACAAAAGCAACTTATAGGGATTCTCTATATAAGATCTCCATTCTTTAAGCCATTGCGCACCAACAGCACCATCCACCACTCTGTGATCACATGAAAGTGTAGCATGTAATGTATTAACAACTCGATATTCTCCTCCAGTGTTAGAAGACGATGAATCTAGGATAAGTTTTTTCTCTGCAGATCCTATTGCTAAAATGCATGACTGTGGTGGATTGATTATTGCTGTGAACGATTTTATACCATACATTCCAAGATTTGAAATTGTAAAACTTCCACCCTAAGGAAAAAATAATGAGAGCACGGGTGTGAATTGAATATTATTATATTATGGTATGAGTGGCGTGGTGTTAATCAATCAAATACCTGATATTCTTCTGGTGCTAATTTTCCTTCTCTTGCACGGCCAGCCAATTCTTTAACTTGATTTGATATAGATGCTAATCCTAATGATTGAGCATTTCTTACAATAGGTGTGAGTAATCCTGTAGGTGTTGCTGTTGCCACAGAAACATCAGCACTTTGATATCTACATCATGGGGATGACGATAATTACGATAAAAAATTATAATTAAATAAATTAATCAATAAATTTTAATCTTTAATTTCTTAATTCCACTAGTAGTAATTTAAAGGCCTACTTACTGTCTGATAAAATCATTATACCAAGCACTATTAACCTCAGGAACAACCATTAGTGCAGATGCGGCAGCTTTAATAATAAAATCATTAACCGACAATTTATATCTACCATTACTTTGACTATTCAATGTCTCGCGTAATTTCAAAACCTCATCAACTTCAACCTCCACAGTTAAGTAGTAATGTGGAATCGCCTGCTTTGATTCGGATAGACGAGTTGCAATAACTTTACGTACATTGGATAAAGGAATATCTTTATAAGCAGCTACTGTTGGTGTAGCTGTTGAGATTTTTGTTTGTCGTGAAGAAGGTTGTTTAGTAGTTGGTTGTTGTTGTTTAGCAGCACCACCTGATGCTATGTAGTTTTCAACATCAGATTTAGTAATACGATTTTTTGGTCCAGTACCAGTAACTTGATCAAGCGAAATATTACGTTCAACGGCTAATCTACGAGCTACAGGACTAGCAAAAATTCTTTCAGAAGAAGGCGGTGGTGATGATGATGGTTGACTTGTTGATGGCGATGGTGTTTCTGGCTTAATTTCTTCTGTTTCTTCTGCTTTAGGTGATGGTGGTGTTGCACCTGCTTCTTCAACAGCAAAATCAGCAAATTCCTCAATACTATCTTTACTTTCTGCTAATACAGCAATTGGCTATACAAATTTTTTTTCACCCAAAATTAAAAAATTAAAATATTGTTTCTAAAAAACTTTAAAATAAAATAAATAAATAAATATGGCATAGCATACTTTTCCAACATTAACTTCTTTTGTACCAGATTCCACGAGGATTTTAGCCAGGTAGCCTTCTTCTTGGCATTCAAAATCCATTTGAGCTTTATCAGTCTCAATTTCTACTAATACATCACCCGGAGTTATTTCATCGCCAATGTTTTTTTGCCATGTTCCCAGACTACCCATAGTCATTGTAGGGGATAAAGCAGGCATTGAAATTATGGTATGAGTTGGATATTCTATATAATTTATATTTGTAATTATTGTTGGTTGATTTGGTTGATTGATTAAGAAATTTTGATCAAGAAATCTTTACTTACGTTTTGAAGCATAGCATCTGTATAAAACATTTTCAAATTTTTTGTAACTTTCAAAAAAACGATTATTATTAAAAGTAAAACCTTTCTTCGTACTAAATTATATTGTAATTAGATTTAGAAAACGGTATGATTATTTGAAAATGTGTAAAGTATAATAATGAATAAATATTTAAATGTTTTAAAAAATGCACACCAATTAGTTAAAAAAGAATGTCCATGAAATTTAGCAACTTGTAAACATATAACAAAAACTTGTGATGCATTCTTCTTCTTTAATGAAACGTGCGACGATGATGATAATGATAGTGATGATGATAATGATGATAATTGTTTAGTAAATATATTATTACTAATGTACCAACTCCTTTGATTTCTTAAAAAATACATTATTATTATTATTTATTATTTTTCCTTATTATCATGAAATTAAATTTTTTTTTGGTTCTATTCTAGATATGACATCATCATCATCATATGGGGTATGGACAATACAGTCAGGGATCTTTCCAAATTTGGAGATCGATTCTAGAAAAATTGGAAACCCCTTTGTTGATCAATTCATATATGTTTCATACAAATGAGTTAACGTGATACTTTGTACCTTTGAAAAGTTTTTTTTTAAAAAAAAAATTCCTATTATAATTATTGTAATAAATACTTCTAAACACACACTTTCTTAATCCACCAAGTTTTTTTCTTAATCCATTGATTTGCTCAAAATATACCTTTTCTAAAATTAAAGATATTTATGTACCAGGAGTTCAAATTTGTTGATTTTTTTTCTTTTTTTTGACTTAAAACATCAAGACCATCTGTTGATATTTTACCTTGCTTATTTGTTGCACTCACTGTACTAAGAGATACTTGAAATACTCAGAGGACCGGTTGAAACAATGCTTCTAAAGCGAGAACATATTAAACAAAATGTATTATATGAGCAATAAAGAAAGGATCACATAAAACTATTTACTAAGTATTTAATATAATGTTTTAATTTAATTATTCACAGTAAGAAAATTCAAATTTATTTTCTCAATCATTCATATATATTCATTCATTCATTAACAACTCTATTTATTTATTATAGATTTGCTCAAAGACATAAAGAAACTCTCAATATATCTATTTATTATAGATGTGGGAAAATTCAAATTTATTTTCTCAATCATCCATATATATTCATTCATTAACAACTCTATTTATTATAGATTTGCTCAAAGACATGAAGCTCTCAATATATCCATTTATTATAGATGCAGGAAATTCAAATTTTATTTTATTAATTTTTTATTATTATATATATATATTGTTTATTATTATTCCTTGCAGTGAATTCAATATAGGGGTGCCATTAACTCAAATTCGTCCTCAGGGACGTTGGTCACGTTTCTATTGTCCATACCCCGTTGGTATCACAAAACTAAACTTGATTTCGCATATTATGGGAAATGAAATTTATCATAATTTTTTACCAGATTTAATGAATTGCTAGAATTAAGAATTTTAAATTTTTAATATATAATATAGGAAAGAAAAATAAAAATAAAGTTTTACCGATAGTAATAGATGAGAGATAACTTTAATCCACAGTGCAGTTTTTACTCTGCCTAATAAATGAATAATTATGACCCGAGGAATTAATAATTGCCATTTCCATTCAATACCACATGCAACCCATCGACGAAAAATTTTCAATTGTTTATTATTATTAATATATTTCAATACAAATAATCCCTGATTTGTTAATGTCAAAAAAAAACGTGCGCTTGTGTTCTGTTTACAATTTTCGGTTTATTAATATTACCGACGGACAATTAATTAATATCTTTAATTATATTGGTTAAATATATATATATTAATAATAAATATTGATTAATAATAACTACAATAAAGAGGCTGAGCCAACCAAAATAAATGAATGCTACGGTTTGGCCGGAATAATATTCATCAATCAACATTAATTAATATATTAATATCATACTAACAATCATATTTTTAGTTTTTTGGTATAGATTAAATCCGGCATTTTTATTTTCATTTATAAACAAAAAAATCTTGATAACAAAGAGTTTTGGTATGTATGCATCTACATTTAGATAATGAAAAAATTTATATTAATAATAAATAAAAATAATATAAAATAAAAAAGTATAAAGAGCATAAAATAACTTTTTCTCCCAAAAAAAAAAAAAACGACTGTAATTTTTTGTAAATACTAAAAAAAAAACAAAAATCATCTTTAAATAAATCATCTTTAATAAATCATTATATTTTAACCATGGAACTTGACAATTTCAAACAAGAAGAAAAGTTTAATAATAAAATACAAAAAAATTCTCCAATGATAATAATACAAAATAATGATGATGATAGTTATAACGAAAATTTATTAATAAAAGAAAATTGGATTAGCGAGAATAATGATACTACCATTACTTTTGACCATTTATCATCGTCGTCTTCATTTAATAATAATAATACTGCTGATAATAACAATATAATTAATGCTTCACCTTTAACAATTTCTCCTTGTTTTACTTCTTCCAATTCATCTCTATCTACTTTATCTTCTTATTCTATTAATAACAAAAACACAAAATTAAAATCTTCAAAGAAATTTTTCAAAAATTCAAAACGTTTATCTTTACCAAACCTTAAATATAACATTTACGCTAAATGTCAAAATAAAAACAACAAAAACAACAATAACAGTAATAAAAGTGATAAAAATGGTAGTAATTTTTATTTATCGTCACCTTCATCATTCTTGGAACCAATTTCACAAGTCACAACAACTTCTGAATCTTCAACTGCTGCAAGTAATATTTCTTCATCATTTAATCAAAAGGATTCAATAATTCCCGCTCAATTCATCTTTAATCATTTTCCACCGCCACCATCATCGTTTACCACAAAACGTATAAAAATTTTTAAAAATTTAAAACATTTACTAAAAAACAATTCTTCAATTAAAAATTGTAACAACAAATTTTCAACATTCTCAACATTCTCAACATTCTCAACATCCTCGTCATTCAATTCGCCGAAATCATCAAAATCACACCTAGCAACAAATTTTCCAAAAAAATCAAAATATAATGATTTGAAATTTGATAGAATGATAGGCGAAGGAGTTGGTGGTAAAGTACATTTGATCACTACCACTGAAGACAATAAAATATTTGCCATAAAACAATTTACAAAATGTCAACCAGAAGAATCTGAAAAACGTTACGTCAAGAAAATCTTGACAGAATTTTGCATCGCATCAACACTTGATCACCAAAATATAATCAAAACGTTTGATATTATCAAGGGAAACGATAATAACAATCAATTCTATCAAATAATGGAATATGCTCCTTGTGATTTCTTTGATATCGTAATGTCACAAAAAATGTCAAAGGCTGAAATTAATTGTTGTTTTGTTCAAATTGTTAATGGCGTAAATTATTTGCATGAGATGGGAATTGCTCATAGAGATTTAAAATTGGACAATATTGTAATGGATGAAAATAATATTATAAAAATTATTGATTTTGGATGTTCGGTTGTATTCAAAAATCCATTCAGTGAGAGAATCATCTTGACAAAAGGTAGGAATTTTTATAAATTAAGTTAATGGGTGAAAAATTGATTTTTCCACTTGCTTATCATATATTAATATATTTTGTTTTTTTCTTTCTCTCTTCAAATTAATTAAAGGCCCATATGGAAGTGATCCGTATATAAATCCTGAGTCACACAATCAAAACGTATTATACGACCCAAGATTAGCTGATATTTGGGCTCTGGGTATAATATATTTTTGTATTTATGTGGGCAAATTTCCTTGGCTAATAGCAAAATCAGATGAAGATTCTTCTTTCAGAGCATTTCTAAAAAAGCCAAATAATCTACTCAATAAACTACCAATTGAATCAAGGCCTACCATCAGTAAAATAATTGAACTAAATATAAATAAACGTATAACTATTAAGGAATTGTTAGATGATGAATGGTTTAAAAGTATTGAATTTTGTTCAGTTGACGGACAGAAATCTGATAATCACCATTCACATATTGATTGGCACCTGGATATTTAAATAGAAATTTCTAGATTTGTTAATTAGACATTTGTTTGGAAAAAAAAATATAGTAGAATAAATACTTTTTTGTTCATTTTTCAAAGATTTTATATATTTTTTATTACCTTTTTGGACAAATTAATGTCATTATATATAATGGGAATAAATTTATATTCATAAACTCTTGCTTTTGAAAAATGTTATCATAATGGGAGAGTGCATTGTATTATTAAAAATCAAAAAAAGGGTAATAGAAATAATTATAGAAATAATAAATGATTATAATCCAAAGAAATATTTTTTCACCATTTGTTTTGATTTCATTCATGATCTTCTCTTTCATCAATAATCAATCTCTTATGTTAGAAAATTACTTCTGTGTGACATTAATAAAAAGCATTCGTAATGATATGAATGCTCACGTGCTAAAATACAACCCAGAGTGTGAGGAGGAGATATTTGGAGGGAGAGACTAATAGAAACATTTAATGTCAGCAACAATATCCAATGTTGGAAGTTTGCATGGGATTTTTTATTTTGGTTTTCTTTGCTTACCTGATCTATCAATAATTGTTTTTCCATTCCAATATATTAAAAGCTCCAATAGATTATATTACTGTTCTTTTGTCAAAAAAAAATCTAATTTTATTTCATTATATGGGAGGACTGTGAAACATTTTCCTTAATTGGTATGTGAATGAAATCAGTGAAGGATCTGCCAAATTGTGAGTATTGCAAGGAGTTATCGGGCAAACAATTTTGTATCAATATAATTGATATTTATTATATTATTTATTATTAATTATTCAAATATGTTATATACATTTCCATCATTTCATTGTGATAGTAAATAATATTGGAGATATTGAGAATGAATAAATAATAAATATATTGTTAGTATATTAGAATAGAAAAATAAATAAATAATACCTTTCTTTTTGGCATATAAAATAAAAGAAAAAA